TCACCAGCTTGAGGGGGAGTGTTGGAAAGGGATGACGAGGATTATTCCTTGTGGAATCCGAGTCAGAATCTTTCCTTTTTTTTTTAGTTATTTATTTTCTTATTTAGGCTGTGATTTAGTTTCATTTTTTTCTTTAGGCTAAATTAGTGGGTTAGTTTCCTAGAATAACTCGTAGACTTAGAAGTTGTATATATTTGTACAGATCTTCTCAATGAAATTAGAACAGAAATCTTCAACCATTTGTTTCTGTTTTCAGTTTTTGTGCTGATGTTGGTGTATGTTTTTGTACCTCTGGTGTGGTGCCTAGACATGGTGCAACAAGATGTTTAAAGTGCATCTTTGTTGTTTAGGTGTTACCTTGATAAACTGCTGAAAGAAAAAAAAAGCCTTTGATGCTTGAGTTCCCAGTAAATGGTTTCACTGTTCTTGAAGCTGGGGCTAATTTGGGGTTTTCCTACCAGTATGGACACAATGGTTGTCGATGTTGGACCCTCAGCTGATTGGGTGAAGATCAATGTGCGGAAAACTGTAAGCTAATCTGGCTCCCTTTACTCCATGGATTATAGCATCTGCCAACTGTAATTTTATTGATTGATGGCTAACTATGTGTTTTTGCAGAAAGATTGTTTTGAGGTCTATGCTTTAGTTCCTTGGCTCTTGCGTGAGGAGGTAAGTGCAGTCCTCTCCTCTTCATCCAGATCTTATTTTTACCAGTACATGCTGCCTTGTTTGCTGCTGTGATTGGCTTCAATCTGTACTATGAGTATTATAGACTATAGCTGATAATTAGTGGCATTGTGATGGAATATCGAGGAACATGGTATCAGATTCCATGGGCAGTTACTGATTTTTGTTTTTTTTTTTTTTCATTTTGTTTTGATGAATGCGTGGGGAGTTACTGTATAACAAAAAGAAACTACTTTTTTTTATGCCTCTGATGTTCATATGAGACCTCAGATGGCATCCTGTGGTTTTCTGGCTGTGCATGTGCAACACAATCATGGTGGTTAAAGTTGTTGAAATTTATACTGTATTTTTAATTCTGAAAAATAAAAGAACATATAGTCTCTTGCTGCAGTCCATGCAATCAAATTCTATTTCAATTGTACAACAGTAAAATTTTGTAGAATTGTAGAGAAATTGTGACATGCTACTGAGATGAGTGAAGTTAGAATGGTTGTTTTTGTCACTGTATAGTTTTTAGTAAACATGTTTTGATCCCTTCTATCATTCTCCAACCCACAGAATCATTGAAACCATTATTGATATAAAAGGAATCATTGAAACCATACTTTTTCAGGTTTGAGTGAATAGTATGACTATGTCTGATGGAAATTATCATTTTTTTTTTCTTTTTCTATTTCAACTTCGCTTTTAGTTACATACTTACATTTTAGATATTTTATGGCAGTTAAGTGGATTGTGTTTAAAACAATGTTTTAAGTCAAATACTTATCTGTAAAAAGAGCATTAAGTTGATTCAAAATATTACCAGTCAAAAAAGTGGATTGAAAATATTTGATAACTTTGTGCTACTTCATTAATAGTTTGGTGAAGATAAAATTTATGAGTTTGTCCTTCGGCATCTTTAGGTACATGTTCAGTCAGATCTAGCTGGACGTTTGGTTATATCTGGTGAGTCAGAGCAGCTTGATAACCCATGGGGTGTCACACCATTCAAAAAGGTTTGTTTTTATCTTTTTTAAGGGTATTGAGGAAATTAAGTGTCAACAGGATATGCCAAATGATTAATGTAGATGGTAAACATCAAGTCAAAGGTGTGTTTTATGGTTTTCTTTGTTAACCATCTGGTTCTAGGATGAGAAATCCTATTTTGTATGTTTGGCTATGTTGGTGGTGGTTTTGGGACCACCAATCATGGTTCCAGGACCAGCAAAGTCCCCTTAATTTTTGAACATGCTAATTTATCATGTTCAAACACAGACAAAATGGTTTACTGTTGAAAGTATTATGGGCCCGTGCGTAGGATCTCGTCACGGGTCGGACCACGGGGAGAACCTCTTGCTTCCCCTTGCGCCTTCCCTTGTGTGCAAACCCTATTGTGGAAAACCGAATGGGTGATTTGTCCAAGAGACCACCCGGACTCTCCTCACTCTTCTCTTAACTGGAAACTGAATGCTTTATTCYAAATCACARYTCCTTAAATAGGAGATTACAAGAGGGGGTTCCTTATTGTATTCGGCTAGGCTWGGATAATCCCTCTCTAAATCCAACTCAAACTCCTACTTCTAATGGTAAACAAAACTCTTACTAAGAACATAAGATAAGATAAGGATAGATGGGATAAGGGATAAGGTAAGCTGGTGGCGAGTTGGCAAGAAAATCTGTCGTGGCAAGATAAGTGTGGGCCCCCTGATGAGCTGTCATGTGGGCCCCTCCTCATTGCTGCTGCCGGCGGCGGCGGTAAGTCTTTCCCACGAATGCATCCACAACAGAAAGCATGACATGGCAGTTTAGTGGTGTATCCTGCACTCCTATAAAGCTCTAATCATGTTTCTTTTGATCAATAGTGACCATACAATCAAAAGTGGTTAGAGTAAATGCACATGCAAGTCACACAATCAATACTCACTTGATAGTCCAAAAAAGAACCATAGAGACAGCAGCCTCTATTGCATTGGTTTAAAAAAACGCATTGTCATTTTCTGAACCACAGCCAATTTTTATAACTATAAACCGAAACAGCCAAGTCATAGGTGGTTCATCTACATTGGAGTGGTATTCCATTCTTGTGTACCTTGGTCTGAGTAGGCTGATTATCACTGCCACAAAGTTCTCTTTGAAATGTATAATGTTGTGATTTATGAACTTGTTTGCTATTTACCTATCCATCCATATCGTAAAATTGGTGAACATTGTGGGCTGTTTAGTTTTCATCGGTGATGCATCATACTAGAAATGGGATCTTGTTTTCAGGTTATAACCCTACCATCAAGAATTGATCCGCATCAAACATCTTCTGTAGTTACTCTGCATGGCCAGCTGTTTGTACGTGTGCCTTATGAGCAGTTGGATTCATAAGCTGCTGTGGAGATGTTTGTCCATTTCCGCATGACCATAGATTAGCGTTTTGTGATTAATTTAGGAGAAAGGAAACATGAAATTACGGAAGAATTCCAGAAAGAAGATCAACTGTGCATACAAGTTTTCTTGTTAATTGGTCCAGAGGCTTATAAGTGCCAAACTACACGTGCCCAAGTGGTATGACCATATCTACGTTTAAGTTCCAACTCCGGGTGATTAGTATGGCTAGACAGTGATGAAGCTTTCTTGTTTTGTTCTTTGATCATGTGAAAATGTACATGCTTTCTGGTTGGTAGCCTACTGGCTGTTGTGTGTTTGTATTTTTTTTTTTTTAATTTTTTCAGGACTTAGTGGACTGCTAGCCCTAGGATGACTTATTGGGTCCCTATCTAACAAGTCTGACCTGTAGTAGGTTGGCTTGTTCTCAGAAACAATGACAACTTCCATTAGAAGTTTGTAACTTTGTATATAAAAGCCATGGATGGGAGACATCTTGTTTAATCAGCTTCTTTTAAGGGATTGGTTTTTAGATTAGCTATCGTAACAAATTGTATCTTTGTAGATGTGCAACCCAGGATTGAGTGTTTGCGTGCTTAAAATTTTATTCCGTCTATAATCTATTTGCTTGTAGTGGTTTCAAGTTTCAACTGTATTTTTATTTTGAACTGCACATCTTCTTACCATCCCCACCCCAAACACCCCCCNCCCCCCCCCCAAAAAAAAAAAAAAAGCAACTGATGTATCATATATTTACAAAGAAATAGCTTTTGCTCGAGAGGCAGAGAGCAATGAAAATGATTTGGGTGGCTGATGGGGTAACTTTGAGAATTTATTAATCTTGTAGGACTTGAAAGTCGAGTTTTTCTAGGGCGGAAGTAAAATAGTATCTTTTATATGATACCTAACCTTTGATCTGGGCCAATATTGTGACAAACCTAAGCAAAACCAAACTTTCGAAGTTTTTAACCGACATTTTAATCCAAACTCAGAATTTTACTTTTAACTTCACCTTTCTGAGCAAGCAAAAGGATGTAAATGGATCTCTTTTATTGGTAAATCGTAACTGTAAATGAATTTCTAAGCTAAAAAAAAGGCAGTAATGATTTATGGTGCCTGAAACTGAATAACCGAATTGAGAGGCCAATCTAGGCTTCAAGGTTGGGGCGATGGAGGTGGAAGTGGAAAGTAGGCCATCAATTTTCAATAATCAATCTCTTCTTGACTTCACGTATCGAATGGTTATGGTATCTATGTGGCTATTCTTGTGCCTCTCCTCTCATCTGTCATGTTGTCACTTTGGACTTTTGGAGCCTATCTACCTCTAAGTCGTGCTCCAAAGTCCTAAGTCAGTAAGTCCTACCACCACCATTTTGACCTTAATACCAATACAACATTACGACCATCGTTATCTTTATTCAAAAAAAAAAAAAAACTAATTCAGACATAAAGAGTGCAGTGCTTTGAAAACGTGGTTAGAGTGTTGAATCGGACCCATAATCAACGGACCATGTCTCTACAATTTATGTTTTAATTCTGTAGGTGTGGGATGGTGAAAGCGTACGAGTCACTTGTATCATCATGGGTTCCAATCCAATTGCCAAATGACAAACCATAATAAACCAGAAACGCAGGTGATAAGGCATAGGCCTATTAGGCCATATCATAATTCATATGCGTGGGCGTGGCAACACTCAACAGTACACCATGAACAAATGAAACATACGAGTTCCACCCCACGAGCGGTCCACTAAACGCTACCTACTTTCCCAGTAGGAACTGTCACCTTTTATTTATGATTTATCTAATCTAATCTAATTAATAATAAAAATGGCAAACAAGACAACACAGGGACAAGGGGGCTTAGATGATGGACAACCTAGCTGACTTTAGAGCATTTATTTTGGGTTTATTTTTCGTTATTTGTGGGCCCGACTATGATCCTTTGTATCTGTGGACTGTGGACAACATTCAAACCACTCGATCGATTGGGTCACCTACACCTACATTAGTACATTAGTCGTAACTCATAAAATAGGGTGTGTGGGGGTTGGGGACACTATTTTCAATCTAACTAATAGGAAAACTTAATATAATGCCAAGATACTAGTCAGCTTTGTTTAACTAAATGGTATTAGGTCCGTAATGTCCCTATCCTGTTTCATGAACAACTCTTGTTAACGTGTTCCCCCACCTTTCGGATAGAACTCGGAACTCGGAACTCGGAACTCGGAACTCGGAACTCGGAAGGAACTAACCAATTAATCTGTTTTTGTTTGTATTCCTGAAAATATCACTATCTATTGCCTACAAAATAAAAAGCCTTTTGGGTCCAGGCCCCAACGCTTTATATGATTGTCTCTCTCTCTATCTCTCTCTCGCCCTCTATATACATATATATATATATATATTATATTATTATCAATAAATACTGAAACAGGAAGTGCCATATCGAACCCGTCTGATTTGACCACCCACTACACTAGTACAATATTTAGAATCGCCTGGGCCTAAGGGGTACTTTAGTCTTCACACTTCACATGGAATTGGAATGGAACTGCCAAAAAGAGAAATACCTATTTTATGTTTTTCTGTGCTACAAAACTCTTTTTTGCTTTACTCCTTTCCTTTTGTCGTCTATTTTATTTGTTTTCTCGAGTAATTATTTCCTTTTAACTTCAAGACAAATTAGGCTCAATCCATTTCTTTAATAATAATCCGGTCATATCCACGTTGTAAAATTCCTTTAATCTTTCTGCGGCATAATAATTAATAATTTTTAATGCAGGCCAAGGCCCCTCCTCAGTCCTCCCCATCTTTCCATGTTCCTTCCACGGTTCCACCCCTTAGTAAAAAATAAAAATAAATAAATAATCTGACCTTTCCCTAAAAAGTCCTTCTTCACTCACCCTTATTTATATACACCTCCAAGGCCCCAATCCAATAATCCATTACCATTACAGAGCTCGCTCGCTTGCGGCTTGGCGTTTGGCATTGTCTGTCTATCGCTCTCTTGCTAGCTCGTTGATTGATCGAAAGGAACAATAATAATATATGGGGCACCTCATGAGCTACAACAGGGTTGGCAGGAGATGGCATCACCGGATGAAAGGTTTCCGATTAAACGCTCGACGGTTTTCTGTATGCCGACTGCGCACAAGGCTCTGGTATTTGTTTGGGGTGTTAAGTAGGTGGAAGTCTTCATATGGGCAAGCTCTAGAATCACTGAAGAAAGGTATCAGTAGTAGTAGTAGTAGTAGAAGAGGGCTAGCAATGGGGGGAGAGAACCTTATTAGTCGTCATCGGGACTGTAAATTGAGATCATTTGGACGTTCGAATTCCTTCTATTCCGAAGCTATCGCGGATTGCTTGGAGTTTATCAAGAGGACATCCATTTCGGTGGATGAGAAACCAGTTCCAGTTGGCCGGAGATAGGAATAGGACGACCGGGGGATTCATGTTTATGGAATACATGCTTAAAGCTTAATTGCGGTAGGTGTTGACTGTTGACGGTTGATGGCCTTCTTTCTGTTTCTGTTTGTGTTTGTGATTATTGACTGCTTCTCCTTCCTTGCTGTTTAGTTTAGACTTGAGAATAGAGATATAAAGCATAATTAAAGCTGCATGAGGTTGCATTGAAGCCTCACCACCCCTGATATCAAGGTTGCGACCGCCTGCTGGAGTTACCAACTTCTGTCCACCTTATTTTTCTTGTTTCTGTTTATAGTGGGAAATGCAATGAATGAATCGATTTGTCCATCGGTGTTTGTATTTTGTTTGCCTGTGCGGTGTTTCTTATCTCCTTCCTTCCTCTTTTTTTTTTTCATTGGAATCAAAATGGATCTTCTGTATATTGAGTGAAATATTATAAATTATGACATTTTATTAGAAGGTAATGTTCTTCCAGATCTAAAGTCCAAACATAAATATATAAATAAATAAATAAATAAATAAAATGATGATAGGAATTGAATATGTGGATGGATCTTGCGAAAGGTTCCAGTACCGTGTGAGTGAATAAGCGTAATTGAATTTTATATTCAAAACCAAAACCGTGTTTACTAAATAAAATTAAGGGCATTAATCTCCCCTGGTTTCCCTTCTTTTTGCCGTTACACGAAATGAATTTGACATTTTGACTGAAAAAAATGGGTAAAATAATTAAACTTCCCCTGAGTTTTCTTGTAAATACTGAAACATCCCCTCTTTTTTAAATTGAACAAAGACCTCCCCCTATGAGAATTATATCTAACGGAATCATTAAAAAGTCTTTTTTATCCTCACTACTTCTTCACATTTTCATTTTCAAGACAGGGGAATCTCTCTTGCTGTTTCTTTTTTGTCTTGTCTTGACCCGGCCAAGAACTTTTCCAACCAATATTTCAAAGAGCTTGAGCTTGGAATAAAAAAAAAAAATTATTAAAATAAAGGATTCGTACAGAACAAAAAGAAAAATTATTCAACTTTAAAACCAATAAATGCGATCAAGTATGGGATTTTCCTTGGGGAGGTTTGAAAATGGAACAATATTTCTCGGGGCGTTGTTTTTGCTTAGTATTGATCCAGAAGAAGCCATTTTGCAACTGAAAATAGAGAAGTTAAGAAAACAGAAGTTTAAATTAGAAAGATAGAAGGTGATGTAACCGTGGTCACGTACCATTTTTTGTGATGTATAAATTTTTTGGCTAAGTATCTCGTTGTTTGATCCGGTGGTGACGTGCTTTGGTGATGAGCTACTTGGTGGAGAACTGCCTAGTGGCGAGCTACCTGGTGGCGAACTGCCTGGGGGCGAACTGCCTGGGGGCGAATTGCCTGGTGGCGAACTGCCTGGTAGTGCTACCTGGTGGCGAACTGCCTGATGGCGAACTGCCTGGTAGTGCTCCCTGGTGGCGAACTGCCTGGTGGCGAGCTGCCTGGGGGCGAACTGCCTGGTGGCGAACTGCCTGGTGGCGCTCCCTGGTGGCGAACTCGTCACTTGACTTGCTCTTACGCGGTCTGCAACTCAGAGGATGGTGGAGCTCCCTGGTGCAGCGCAACCCGACTACCCTCCGTGTGAGGTGATTTTCTCTCCTTTGTAGACGGTAGGAGTTGAGGGACCTGCGAGAACTGAATCAGAGGACCCGGGGGTATTTTCCTGGCGGGGACTCTCCGATGCCTAAGT